CCCGGGCCCAAACCCACCTGATTTATGGGGGTGGCCGAGCCCGTGTTCCGCCTCGCTGTGAGCTCGGGGCGTCACATAGCGGATGGACGTCTCCTCCAGGTACTTGTCCACCAGGTCCGGACACACTGGGGGAGAGAGGGGACACGGGGACCCTCAGGGAGGGGATGGGGGGGCACGGGGGCCCTTGGGGAGGGACAGAGGGGACCCGGGGGCCCCAAGCAGATCCAGGGCAGATCTCTCCCGCCGCAGCGGGCGCCAACACGTGCTGGAGCTGCTCCGCGCCCCCCTCTCCCACCAGCCCTTGGAAAATCCCCGTCGGGGCGCCGAGGCCTCGCAGCCGCAGCGCAGGCAAGGCCGATTCCATTTGTTTACCGCAGATAATCCCAACGCCCCGACTGGGAGCGGAGCCGCAAATCCCCCGTCCGGGCCCATGGCTCAGACCAGCGCCCGGTTCGTCCCCTCTCCCCCCCCGCGGCCCCGCCGGGGTCCGAGCGCAGCTCTGGGGCAGCGGCGGCAGCTCCAGGTCCCCGGGACGGACCCGGCTGCTCTCGGATAAACTGGCACGTGCCCAAACCGTTAGATCTGCCTGACTGAACCCGGGTTCAGCAGATCGAACCCTCCAAGTAACACACGGGCAGGACGGGGGGGTCTGAGGAGAGTCCAGCTGCTGAGCGGAAGCAGCTGCTGAGCAAAGATTGCGGGGAGTTATTTGGGAGGGCTGGGCCGTTCTCCGCGGGTTGTTTTTGTCCTGTTTGGCAAGCTCGGAGCACGGCCCGTCCCGGGCAGGATCCCTCCCATCCCCGCCGGGCCGAAGCCGGCCAAGGCCACGGGTGTCCCCGGCCCCCCCGCGATGCCCAGGCGGCTCCGAGCGGGTTCGGGACGGGGTTTTGCTCCTTTTCAGCGCCACGAATACGAACGAGGCGAGAGGAGACGGGAGCTCGGGGCCGCTGCAGGGTCTGGCAGGACCCGGGACGCAGAAACACGCGTCAGCGAGTTGGATCCGGAGGAGACTTCCCTCAGCCCATCGATCCCTCCGCTGTAAACCCCACGTGAGGTGCCTTCCTTCGTAAAGCTTTTCGAAATGCTGGGTTTTCGCATTTAATTAAACCATTTCCACCCAAGCGTGGCAAGAACGAGACCTCAGGGTATGCAGCATCGCTCCTCGCCCCGAAACACCAAAACCCGAGGTGGGGGGGGGACGACGGCTCGCCCAGCTTCAACCAAGAGCCCCCTCCTTTTGGGTTTTTGCACCAAACAAGCAAAAAGCTGCTCAAAAAACCCCCACAAAAATAGTGCTGTGACCCCCAAGACCCTACAGGAACTTGGGAATCGGCGCCACCAGAAACCTCCCCAGGTCCAAGCGCCGCGCAGCCGGCCCGGGTAACGCGCCCACCAGCTGTTTTCCCCGTTTTTCTTGGCCTGGTGCGAAGGAAGAGCACAGAAGGTCAGCCCAGCACAGCCCCCTCCACCCTGCCTGCTCTCCCGGCTCCCAGGAAATGTTGGATAACGGGAAAATCCTCGCGGCGCCCGGTCTGAGCCTGCGCAGGGCGTAGGCAGGGCTGCCCCGCGCTCAGGCTCCACCCGGGCTGGAAGTTTCTGGCGTTTGAGCAGCGCGAGGCAGCAGCTGCCACCAAAAGGAGCGTCCCCTCCCCGATGCTGGTTAAGAAGCGACTTGAACAAAAATCCCCGTTAATTTTCAAGCCACCCGAACCCTTTCCCGCTGGCAGCCCCGGTCGCGGGGTTCGCTCAGCCCTTCCCTCCTCTCACCCCGAACCCGGGGAGTTTTGAGCACCTGCCTCTACCTGCGCTCACCGCTCACGGCACCGCTGCCCACAGGGCGGGCAGAAACCGGGAAGACTCAGCAGTCTGGGACTGCCAAGAAAGCCCAATTATCCTGATTTAAAGCAAAGATGCAAATTTCAAGAGGCTGAATCCTGCTGGAGCGGCTGCCTTACGCGTCCTCCGCAACAAGTGCTCCCTCCGCCCTGACTCCTCTGGTGCTGGATGATCTGGGTTACGTCCTTTGAACTGCAAATTGAGGGTTTTAGTTAAAAAAAAAAAAAAAGAAAAAGGCACAGGGCCAAGGGGCCAAGGCAGTGGAGGGCAGGGCTCAGCCTGGCAGCTCCACGAAGTGACCAAACACCCACAAAATTATCCAAATCCCAACAGCTGGGTCGCTGCTGGGGTCTCCGAGCCAGGAGACCATGAGACAGTCCAAGAGGAAGGTTTGAGGCATCCCACTGGAAAACGGGTTAAAAAAAATATCTGAATTTGGACACGGTTTCTCCCTCGGGCCTCTCCGTGTGCCGACGCCGCAGGACCGACGGCACCAGCGCGGGGAGGACATCGGTCACTTCCCAAAGCAGCCTCAGCCCCGAGGGACGAGGGGGCTTCCCCCGCCCCGACAGCACACAGACTCCTGCCGGCTCCTCCTCGCTCCAGGTGGGAATTGGGGCCAAAAGCAGCATTTCCCTAAAAACTAGCCACGAGCAGCGGGAGCTGGCGGAGCCGGGAGCCGCGCTGCAGCAACCCCAGCCCTCCGTCGCCAAAGAAAGGAGGAGACCTCGGTGCTCACCAGAAACAAAATGAGGCCTTAACCCCCAAAACTGGTGAAAAAACCCTAAAAAACCACCCCGTGGTGTGTCTGCCTGCACTCCCGGCAGCCGTTTGTCCTCACCAGCCTCGGGGTCCTCTAACCACCACGTCTCCAGGGCGCCAGCCAAGGAAAACCGGGAGAGACGGATGAACGCGGCAGCGGGCTCGGTCAGGGCAGCACTTACCGGCCCGTCGCCTCTTGAGGGTGACGTAGGGCAGCAGGTCGTGGCGCGTGATGATCCGCAGCAACTGCAGCACCTGCCGAAAGTTGGTCTCGTCGCAGCGGCCCTGCCGCTCCAGCGCCAGCAAGAAGTCCCGGCCGCTGCGGATCATCCCCCTCTCGTAATCGTCGATCACGTCCACGAAGAGGAAGGAGAGCACCCGCACGTCCCGGTGGGTCAGGTGCGTGCCCACGATGTCGAACATGCGGTGCAGGCTGTACAGCCCGTGCTCCCGGTCGCCCCGTTCCTCCGGCCACGCTTGCGCCCGGCTCCGTTTGAAGGCGGCCATCGTCCGCCACTGCCGGCCGGCACTCCCCACAGCACCACAACCCTACAAGACAGAGAGGGCCAACAGGATTTAATCGGTGGGTATTCGGTTAAAAATCCCGCTCTGCATCCCGCCGGGCAGCGACTCGTCCTCCGCGCTGCCCGAGCATCTTACGCCAAAAATCGTCGGGTACCGGATTGATGGTGCCGGGCTCCGCCAGCACCGACAGGCCTCTGCCGCAGTGACCTGGGACCCCAAACTCCGTCTGGCAGAAACACCGAGGAGCTACGGGGCTCCAGACCGCGACGCAGGTGAAGGCCGATGTCCCCCACCCCAGCAAAACGAGCCCCCGCGTCCCCGGGCAGAGCCCATCACAGCAGCGGGCACCGACTGCACGAAGCCGTTTGGTGCGGGCACTGGTATCGCACCGACCATCGAGGGAGAAGGGAGTGAGGCGCCCGGCAGGCCCCGACCTGTCGGGCTTCAAAGCCGGAGGAGAGCCCCCGCCTCGCCAGACTGGCTTCAGCACCCGACGCGGGGCTCGCCCGCCCCATCCCGGCAGGTTTCTCGCCCGGTTACAGCCCCCCCCCACCCCGGGCCAGTTCCTCGTGGCTCTGCCGTCACCCGGTGCTTTCAGCGGCACTGGGAGCTTTGTTTCTTCACCCAGAGCCATGGGGAGCCCCGTGCCCAGCCGAGGGGGGACCCGCAGGAATCACAGCCCATGCCCGGCCTCCCTTGGGGACCGAGCGCCGCCACAGCGCAGCGGGTGGCATTAAGGTGTCCCACGCCTGGGGACGGCACCGTGGCACCACAGAGTCAGCCACGAGACCAGCCAGGGAGCGGGGACGAGCCGCTCGGCAGCACCAGTCACTCGGGGTGACGGGGTGTGGAGCAAACTGGACTGCAGGGCTCGCTGGGGCACCCCCCGAGCTGCTTGGAGGGGCCTGCGGACCCCCAGAGCGCGTCTCCGGCCCGGGGCCGTGGCAAAAAGGCACCTTGGTGTGGCTGCACCAGGGATGTGCCCAAACCCCTCGTGAGTTTATCGGGGTGGGGAGCCCTCCCGCCCGGCGGCACGCGGGGCCAAGGCCGCGCTCCGGTACCGCCCCTGAAGTCGTGCAGGCAGGATGCAGCTCAGCTCCGCGCGGCACCGGGCCACGGCTCCATCTTCCCTGCGGAGCCGGGCCCAGCCCAGCCGGCGCCACGCGGAGCAGCTCCGCTTGGTTACGGTTCCCAAAACAGAGGCGGGAGGCGTAAACACGGACACCGGCTGGAATCTCCCTATTCCCCGCACGGCCCGTGACTCACGCTCGGGCCCCAGGCAGACGGGGGGGAGCCCTCGACAGGGCCGTCGGCCACCAGCACTCAATGGGAGGGTTTTAATTCCTATCATAAAATGCAAATCGCTCAAATTAAAAATGTGTTGAGCAACTGCTGCTCTGAAAACAGTCTGACGCCACTCTGCCTACTCCAGCTGGGGAGGAGAGGGCAATACACACCGTACAGGGGGAAAGGTCCTCCCGGCACGGCTTCTGGTGAAGGTATTTCCTGCTACGACCAGCCCGTAGCCAGCTCCATGCAGGGCAGAGGGGAGAAAAATCAGGATAAAACACCCCCCAGCACCCCCCCGGTTCTCCTCCAGCCCGGGAGCTGAGCCATGGCAGCTCCGCGGAGGAGCCAGAGCACGCTGGGCCGCAGCTCCCGGGAGATTCCTCGGGTCCCCTCAACCCTGCCGAGGCCAAACTGTGGAGGGGCCTGTACCAGGAGCTGCGGCTGCGTCACAAGTGTCAGCGGGCAGCAGGCGGTAACCGCGCGAACCCGGAAGAAAAAAAAAAAAAAAAGACAACAAACAACCCTCAGTCTCGTCGGTCGCTGCTGTGAGCACAGAAAGCACCGAGCACAACCAAGGCGTTGGCCGAAATCTGCGTTTCCACCTGACTGTGAGGTCCCCGCCGCTCCTCGGCCAAGTCCCAACTGGTTTTGGTGCTGCAGCACCAGTGCCAACCAGCAAACCAACCCACAGGCCGCTGGGTTTGTGGCCGGGTGGCTGCCGGGCCCCTCAGCTCGCTGCCTGCTCCCGCCCCACCGGGTTCCTGGGTGCTGCTCGCACGCCCCGGCCAGGGTTTTGCTGCGGGAGCCACAAATATTCCTGCGCAAACTAAAACAGACGAGAAACGCGCCCAGGCGGCGCCTGGTGGGGTCTCTTGCCTTCGGCCCGGCGTCCCGTGAGCAGCTCGGAGAGAGAAACCTGAACACAAACCCCCACTACTGCCCCCCGGCTCATGGCCTGGAGACCCGCACCCAGAAGCCCACCCTCTGTCCCCTAAACCGCGCTTGCGCCGCAAAACCGGGGGGGGGACAGACCCCCAACCTGGGCACGAGCGAGCGCCGCTCGCGGGGACCCTCTTTTGCAGCGTTTCACTCCAAATGGCTCCTTCTCCTGCAGTCGGGTTTGCCAAGCACTGAGTTGCATAAACCCAAGGCAGAAATTAGGCAGACGCTCTCTTTTGATTATTTAGTACCAACCACCCTGGGATTACGCTGCATTTTTTTCTTCCAGGGAGGAAAAAAAAAAACCAAAACAGGCTGCCTAAACACAAGAAGAGGAGATTCAGCAGAAAGAGACTTTCTGTGTGGGGGAAGTAGAGTCCCGGGGGGCAGTTCCTTACGGCTGCACCACCCAAAACCACAAAAAGCTGTTAAATTCGTTTCCAAGCAGGGGATTCCAAGCAGCCGCTACTTGGAAGAGCTCCCTGCTTCCCCTCGCCTCTGGCTCTCCTCCCACCTCAAACCCACGGGATCGGAAGGCTGGAGCGCTTTGCTGCGCGCATGCATTAAAAAAAACCACCCCGAAATCCTTTGATTTTCCTCAAGAAGCAGCCCCCTCGCGGTTGTAGGGAGCGGGGAAGATCTCCCAGCAGCAGGGGAGGAGCTGGCCGGGCCCCGCTCAGGGCCGACGTGTCCCCAGAGAGCCCCGCGCACCCCCGGCACAGACAGGCAGCACCTCGCACCCGCTCCGAGGAGACTTTCCTCAAGAGGAGACTTTCGGTTGCGCTCCAAGATCATTAAAATAATTTAAAGTGAACAGGAAAAACAAGCTTTTGGTGCCTGCAAAGCTCTGCATTCATCAGAGCCTCACTCATGTGGGTGCCGGGGCCTTTTGCCACTGGGCGAGTTGGGGGAACTCACAAAAACCCCCCTCCCGCAGCACGGTCCTGCCTGATGGGCACAAAGTCACGAAAACCAACTTCGAGTTGAATTTTCCAGAGCAGCCCAACCCCAGCCTCCTCCCCCCGCGCGCTGCGGGCAGAGGGACGCCCAGTCCTCCCAGTCGCGTGTTCGCCGCAGACCAGACCCGATCCCGCTCATTTCGGCCAGGACTGGCCGGC